AAGAATCGAATAAAGAAAAGTCAGTAGAAGAACGTGAATCGATAGATTGGGTTTTGTTTGTGTTGAATGTTGATTGAATTTGTTTTCTATTTGATTGTCTATGTTGGATACGGAGGCGAGGGTTATAGTCTTGCAACCTCACTGAGCTATTCGCGTAGCTCACCCCTTCCTTTTTCCCCACAGGTGAAAGATGAAGCAGATCAAGTGGTAAGACTTAGTAATTGCAAGAGACACGATGCTTTAGATTTTTATTTTTATGAGTTCAGTATTTTTAGACTTATTTTAGAATGTCATTATTGAGACTTCCGCTGCAGATTTTGAGATGATAGTATGGTATTAAGAATAAACCGAATCTTTCTTTCTAAAACCTAAGTGACGATTCAACGGGTCTGAAATACCGGATTTTGGGTCGTTACAGATGGTATCAGAGCCTGGTTCTCTCCTAGTACGGTGTGGTTCGTGGATGAACCAGGCGGAAGCTGGTGGGCCTGTGACAGCCCAGGATACCGTAGGAGGGCGGGGAGGGATCGCCGGGGCGATACCGTAGGAGGGCGGAGAGTGATCGCCGGTGCGAGAGGCATAGACAATGGGCAGCTCCTGACGAGCTTCTGGGTGGGGGGTATAGGGATGAAGCGGACGCACCGGAATGAGAGGGATCCGAGGGCTATGTAGGTATGGGACTACACAGTCTAAGATAACTTAAAGGAATTAATTGAGCTACTCATAGCAACAAGATGCATCTACATTTTCGGTTGCCCATCTCGAGAGAACTCCAAAGTTAAGCGTGCTGGCTTTGGAGTAGTCTTAAGATGGGTGACCTCCTGGGAAGTACTTTTCGGGATGTGTGCGAGTGAGGACAAAACACGCTAAAAGATCCCGTGTTGGTGTGTGGGGACAGCTCTATCATTCCGTAGCGGCCTCGGGTCGTTACAAATGGTATCAGAGCCCACACTTTTCATGGGACATTAAGCATAATCCTCAGTCTTGCAGTAAAGACTTAGTTCATGGTAATACAACCATTCTAATAGAGTTTTGTCATCACGTGAACGAGGATGACATGGTCATGGACGAGGACGTCCAATTCCTAAAGGAGGGGAGATATGTCTTATGAAAGAAGTATTAATCAGTTAGAGCACACAAGAAGATGACAGTGTGACTTATTCACATCCAACAAGGACATCGCTCAGTGAAAGAATAAGTGAAAATTCAATAAGTTATCTAGATATAGATGTGAGATATTGCAGTAATAGACTTTAAAGATTAAGAAGTTCAAAAGGGGACTTTTTCTCTCAAGACAAAGTTGGAAATTTAAAAAAAAAAATTAATTCAATGTTAGAAATAGTGGTTTTGGTTGGTCAAAGTGAGAGAACATAACGTGAGATCGGGACATCGACGTCTTGTCCACGATGACAAGAGAAAGGAAATTCTCTTATGCACCCTCATGTAGTTGAGATCTCGATGTACTCACTATGTGAAAAGTGTCATTTGGACGAATGTAGGTTACTCGAGCTCATTTATTACCATTGTAGAAAATTTTGACATAGTGTCATGTGAAAAGTGTCATTTGGACGAATGTAGGTTACTCAACCTCATTTATTGCCATTGTAGAAAAGTTTGACATAGTAGGAACATTTATCCTGAGTTCAAAAGAGAATATTTAAAAGGATTGAACCAAGACCACACCACAACTACCATCTTCCAAGAGATACGTGGTGAAGTCTAAAGTATATGCACTAGGAACAGAGGAACAAGATGTAGAAGAAACGACAACAATCATAGATACGTTGAGTATTATAGGTGAACAAACACACACCCTTTTTGGTGAAGAGGCGATACATGATTTTATTTCGCCTATACATGCAGATTGCATGAAGATTGCCCCTAATATTAACAGTGGTAGAATATTGGTTCATACTCTTAGTGGAGAGAAAATGGAATCGAAAGGAATGCTTCATGATGTATCGGTCATGATTGGTATACATGACTTACCTTCTGATTTGATAGTGGTACCAATTAAGGAATATGATGTGATTTTGGGTATGGATTGGTTAGCAAGTCATCGAGCTCACCTTGATTGTAAGAGATGTAGGGTTCGTGTTGAACAAGAGACATCCTTGGTACTAGAGTTTGAGGGTGCAAGGAAAATTTCAAGTTTGCTTTTATTTCAGCAGTGCGGGTAAACCGACTAATTCAACAAGGGAGTGATGCGTATTTGGCGATAATATAGTTAAATAGACTAGAAACATCAAGTAGACTGGAATATATACCATTTGTTAAAGATTTTTCTGATGTTTTTCTGGAAGATCTATATGGAATACCTCATCTAAGATAAATATATTTTCCTATTGAGTTGAAACAGAGAGTTTAACCTATCTCTAGAGCCCCTTATCGTATGGTGGCTTCAGAAATGGCTGAGTTAAATAAGCAATTGGTGGAGTTGATTGGAAAAGGTTTTACAAGACCTAGTACTTCTCCTTTGGGTGCTCCTATACTATTCATTAAGAAGAAAGATGGAAGCATGAGATTATGCACTGATTATAGGGGATGGAATAAAGTATCAGTAAAGAATAAGTATTCACTCCTAAGAATTGATGAATTGGTGGACCAACTCCAATGTACTAGCTTATTTTCTAAGATTGATTTATGATCAGGTTACCACCAGATACATGTTCTAGATGATGATATAAAGAAAACTGCTTTCAGAACAAGGTATGGACACTTTGAATTTGTTGTCATGCCGTTTGGACTTACTAATGCACCAGCAGTTTTTATGGAGTTGATGAACACAACATTCAGAGATTATTTGGACGAGTTTGTTATCATCTTCATTGATGACATCCTTGTGTATTCCAAATCTCGTGAGGATCATATGATACATTTGGAGAAGGTGTTGGAACGCTTAAGGAGAAAAAAGTTATATGCAAAGCTTAGTAAGTGTGACTTTTGGATGCAAGAGGTAGGATTTTTGGGGCATGTGGTATCTGCGGAAGGAGTGAAAGTAGATCCATCCAAAGTGTCGACTATAGTTGATTGGGTGAGACCGTCTAATGCTACAGAGATTCGAAGCTTCCTTGGATTGGCTGGGTATTACAGAAAGTTTGTAAAGGGTATTGTCAAACCTATCTAAGCCATTGACGAGATTGACGGGAAAGCGTGTGAAGTTTGAATGGGACGAAAAATGCTAGACAAGTTTTGAAGAGTTGAAGAAGCGATTGACATCAGCTCCTATTTTGGCATTACCAAAGCCCGGAAAATCGTTTGTAGTGTACAGTGATGCCTCTCGCCAAGGGCTAGGATGCGTGTTGATGCAAGAAGACCGAGTTATTGCGTATGCCTCACACCAACTGCGAAAACATGAAGAAAACTACCCTACTCACAATTTAGAACTTGCAACAGTGATTTTCGCACTCAAGATTTGGAGATCTTACCTGTACGGAGAGAAGGTTCAAGTATATACTGACCATAAGAGTCTCAAATATGTGTTCTCGCAAAAGGAACTTAATTTGAGACAACGCAGGTGGATGGAACTAGTGGCAGATTATGATGTGGATATTGTCTATCACCTTGGCAAAGCTAATGTGGTTGCAGATGCCTTGAGTAGAAAGAAATTTGAGTTATCTACTTTGAGATTGGCGAGTGACCTAACGACTCAATTGAGTTTAATGCAGATATCAGCTCAGAAAAATCGAGATGGGTTGGAAACTAGTGCTATAAAATGGGATAGTTGGTTGGAAAAGGTGAAGATGGCTCAAGAAACGGATGAAAAAACGAAAGAATTGATGGAAAAGCCCGAAGATTTTACAAGGGCAGGGTATTCCACTTCAAATGATGGGTTGATACTATTGAGAGGTCGTGCTTATGTGCCTAAAGATGAAGAATTAAGGAAAGAGTTATTGAAAGAGGCGCATAATACGCGATATTCCATACATCCGGGTACTACAAAGATGTATCGGAATTTGAAACAGTACTTTCTTTGGCATGGCATGAAAAAGGATATTGCAAAGTTTGTTACTCATTGTCTAACGTGTCAGCTAGTTAAAGCCGAGCACCAAGTACCTGCATGAAAACTACAGTCGCTATCGATACCTCAGTGGAAATAGGACTTGGTGACGATGGATTTTATAGTTGGTTTGCCAAGGACACCAAAAGGAAATGATGCGATATGGGTTATTGTGGACCGTTTAACTAAATCTGCACATTTTATCGCGATTAAAAAGACATTCTCAATGCCTCGTTTAGCACAGGTCTACATAGAAGAGGTGGTAAGACTTCATGGAATCCCTATTAGTATCGTGTCGGACAGAGATCCACGATTTACTTCGAGATTTTGGAACAGTTTTCAAGAGACTATGGACACTAAGGTACGATTGAGTACGACTTATCATCCCCAGACTGATGGACAGTCAGAAAGGACGATACAAATGCTAGAGGATATGTTACTGCGTATGTATTGGATTGGGGAGGGGAATGGGATCGTCACTTACCATTTGTGGAATTCACTTACAACAACAGTTTTCATTCAAGTATCGGGATGTCACCCTTTGAGGCGTTATATGGAAGACCTTGTAAGACACCTCTTTGTTGGACAAAAGTTGGAGAAAGATGATTGTTGGGTCCTGATATAGTGGATGAAACCACGAACAAGATTAAGGTGATCTAGAACCAGATGAAGACAGTACAAGATAGACACTTTTTGATGCGGATAAACATAGACGTGACATAACTTTTCAAGAGAATGACGAAGTATTTCTCAAAGTACAAGCAACTAAAGGAAAAGCACGCTTCGGAATGACAGGAAAACTAAAACCCAGATTCATTGGACCTTTCAAGGTATTGAGTAAGATAGGAACATGGCTTATAAGGTTGCCTTACCCCCCGAGTTGGCACAAGTTCATGATGTGTTTCATGTGTCCATGCTTCGGAAGTACCATCCTGACCCTGATCACATTATTGATTATCAACCGCTTGAGTTAAAACCAGATGGGACTTATGAAGAAGAACCTATCGAAATTGTTGAACGAAAGGTTAAACAACTGCGGAGAAGAGAAATTCCTCTAGTAAAGTTCACGTGGACACACCACAAGGGAGGAGATGCGACTTGGGAATTGGAGGACGACATGAAGGCTCGTTATCCCCGCCTTTTTGGTAAGAAAAATCATACATACCATACTAAGTAGTTCTAGAGTTCGGGACGAATTCTACTTTTAAGGGTGGTGGAATTATAACGAACGAAATATTTTAAAAATATATATATATAAAAATAAAAATAAGAGATTGGGGTGTAAGGTGATAAAATTAAAAGTTCTGGAAAAATCTGTTATTTCAGTTAGGGTCTTTTAGAACGAAATAAAAGTTTGGGCAGAATTCGAAAATTTCAGAAAATATGGGATTGGACTGCAATTTTTGCTAGGGTTTCTTCTTCTTCTTCTTTTTCCCTTTTTTCTCCTCCCATGGCCGACCCTAACACCATTGTTCCTATCTTCCACTCCGATTTGCCTCCTTGCTCGCCGTCGACCGTCGACCACCGCCCCGTGGTCACCGCTTCATCACCGTTGGTCCGTTTTTCCTCTCTCTTCTTAGTTTTTCGCCGAGTTATTTTTCTCCTCCTTCACCACCGAACTTTGTAGATTTCCGGTGAACGGAAACTCGGTTTTGGTTGAGACTTGAAGGGTTTGAAAGCACTTGATGAGTTGAATCTTTTCTGGGTAGTGTCGTCGCCGGAAACGGTGAAACATCGCCGGAAAATCACCGAGAACTGTCGGAGAAAAACTTAGATCTAGGGATATTTATGCCGATTTAGGCCAAAATAACTTCGGATTTGGATTCCTTGATTGGTTTTACATAGGAAACAGAAAAAAATTAAATGATTCCGAGATGTATGACGATCGCCGACCACCGGCCACCGACCACCGCCACCGGCCACCGTCGTCGAAAAATTTTCCGGTGACATGGGTTGAACCGTTTCAATCCCGTGATTTCAAATCCGAAATCCGTTTTATAAAATTCAAAGTACTTAGAGATATTCGAACGATTTAAAATAACACAGTTTAACCGTAAGACTTACCATTCGATTAACGTTTTTTTTTCGGTAGTAAATATTTTTGAAAAATAATTTGTTGATTAAGATTATTATATGATAATTAATTATAGGTGAAGAAAATCTCGAGGTTATTGAAACCGGGATCGAGGATTAGAGCGAATCTTTCAGAGTTCATCGGTTAGACCAAGGTGAAGTAACTCGACAGAACTCCTCTTTCTTCTATTCGCTTAGACATGATGATAGGGAACATAGATATCATGCGGTTAGGACTTTAGGATAGACGCCTTAAATTTCTTGCGAATTCATGATGTATGTTGATTGATGATTGATGAATGATGATTAATGATTGATAATCGATGATTGATGAATAATGCATGAT